AGTTTTGTACCACTGGTGGTACTTCTTATTTTTCCTGGTGGGTTTGTTTCCTCGTTATATCTCATACTTTCGGCAACTACACAATTCTAATCCTATCTGTTTCAATTAAGTCATACAGAGGTCTGATTGGAAGCGCGTTGTACTGTCGACAAGACGCGGCGTGGGTGTATTCAAAGTGAAATTGAAATCCACAAAAAAAAATGTTAAAAAAATATGTGCATTTTTCTGAAATAATTTATGCCTTGAAGTTCGATACGGACTTCATTTTTTTTTTAAAGATATAATATTACAGATTCCAATATAAATTTGTGAACAACTGATGGGAGACAATTGATGACGTTAATATACCCAGTGCATACAATACAGAATAGTCGGGCCTATAAAGACTGGCCAATCGGATTGTTTGATTCAGTTATGTGGAGAGCAAGTGGTTTAGAGTTCAGGACCCGTGATTTAAAAAAAACAAAAAAACTTTGATTTTAGATCAAGGTTTCGGACGTAAAATGTTCAAGTGAAAGGAGATGTTGTGAATATTATTTTAAAAAATGTGATTTAATTGAAGGGATTTACAGTTCATCTTATTTCTGTGAAATCATATATTTCTTCTTTTGGATATTGTGAACGTTCAAATTAAAATGTTCACTGATTGAACCCCCAACGTCTCGACTATTATTTATAACAGCCACGCATACGTGGTATAGTATTATAATTGTGTGATGTATTTCTGCCAATAACTTTGAAAAAAACATTTTTTTTTAATGATCATGAATGTTTTATTATTTAAAATATCAACAAGCTTATAGAAAGATATATTCATTGCATTGTTTTTTTAAGCTTCTTGTTTTATTTTATTTTTATATAAAAAGTTAAATTGAGCAGTTTTAGACAAATCTTTTCCTCTCCCTGACCTTTCATCTAACAAACACTCTCAGTGGTGATGACGTCATGGTTCCGCGTCTGAATTTTTATTTCACCGACCTCTTCTGGGCTCAGTCATCTAAAAAAAAAAAAGAGGGAGGTCAATCACCTTTAAACAAGAGATCCTTGCGACGATAATATTTATCTTCAGTTATTTCCCTTTGACTAGAGCCACCAAAAAAAAATGTTCCTTAAAACTAACACAACTGGGGTAATCAATCACAACGTCCTGTTCATTATTTTTTGCCACAATGTTATTTATTATCAGATGTTTTGTTGTTGGTGTTTTTTTTTTTTGTGGTTTTTTTTTTGTAATGAACGCTTGCATTTCGAACAATGTTTGTAGCAACAACAACAAAAACATGTCGTTGGAGAACTAAAATTATGTCAATATTTCTTTCAAGGCGATACTGACGATGAAGTAGGAGGAAAACGGAAGAATACGGGGAGGGGTGGGGGGGGGCAAAAAAAAGTGGTCTGTTCAAGTTGTAGAGGAAAGGAAACTCGGACGATGGCGGTGGAATGTTTGGCAAGTAGAGCAAAGGAAGGAAATGGCGTGATGACGACCGTGAAGGTGGAGGGAAAAGTACAAGAAAGAGAAGAAAAGAATACGCAGGAGAAGGAGAAACATGAGAAGACGACAAAGAAAATAGTAAAAAAAAAAGGAGACTAGGTGGAACTAGGAAAAAGGAGAGAAGAGGAAAAAAAGAAATCAAAGAAGCGAAAGAATCCACAGTAAAACTAAATACGACCAAGGAAGACAAAGAAAGCAATTTTTTTTTTTAAATCATATAAACCTGAAAAGCCAAAGAAACAAAGGAAGCCAAAGAAGCCAAAAATAATAATAATAAACCAAAGAAACAGAAATAGTCAAAGAAGAAGCAGACCAACAAAAAAAAAAGATAAGAAATAAAGATTGAATAAAATTAGAGAAACCAATGGAATATGATGAATTTCACCGTCACAACATCATCAGAGATATCTCCGAACAAAATCATGAATCTTACTTAGAATGGCATCAATGGAATCTCTAAATGAAAGCATGATCCTGACTTATAATGGCACCAAAGAAATCTCTAAATAAAATCATGATTCTTACTTAGAATGGCAACAATGAAAATCTAAATGTTATAATGATTATGGCATACAACGTCATCAATTTTAAAATAACTTTAGTTAGAAAAGTAAAGCATTTTTTTAATGCTCAGTTCACACGATCAAATTTTTCATTCAATTTTGGTTAAATTTTTTTTTGAACGAATTATTTATTTTTTTACTAACTAGTGCGTTAAACGTTAAAAATAAATCTGACGAACATTTGAGAGTGTGAACAGACCATAAAGGTTTCCACCAAGTAGGAAATTTTACAAGCCCAAAAAACTTATTTTTTCGTATAAATAGTTGTTTTTTTTGGTTGTTTTTTTTACTAATATTGCTGTGTTTCTTAGCCGAAAGTTTAGCGTGTGATTTTTGTAATGTGTCAGGGTAATGCCAACCCTTAAAGGTGCATTTAAAAGTTTTTCTCCTCAAACTCTGCACTAAAGAAAATAGACAATCGTGTTACCGATTTGACCAACTACCTAATCAATCTATCTGAGTAGCCCATGTCAAGCTATTTAAAAACGACCCAGCTGCCTTGACATTAAAGCTATTATAAATGAAGGAATGCGTTCAAGCTGTGTTAAGGACATGTGGGAGATTTAGTTAAGAAAAAGGGCAATGCGACAATAATATTTCGGCAAGGAGCCTTCATCAGCGGACGGCACGGATAAAAATAAGACAAGAAATAGAAACAAGCTAAAATTTAAGTGATCGCCATTAGTTATTTCCGGAATTTGTATTTTTCAAAACCAAGATTAAAGGTTCTTAGATCAAATTATAATAGTTATTTATGAGAAGGCGATGCCATTTGCTAAAGCCATAGCATCAGGAAATTTTTGTTTTTGACATACTTCTAGCTTTAAGGAAAAACAATCAATATATGAAATATTAGTTACTTCATTAAATATGTAATTACATTAAAAGTGGATACTGAGAGGAAAGGAAGCGACAGACCACTGGACCCAAGTGTTTCTGGCGACAAGAAGGCGGCTCGTGGAGTCAGAAAGACATCTAAAGCAGCAAGAAGGTGGAGTGATGATATGGCCAACGAGGAATTATAAATAAATTACATAGGGAAAGGGTGTCCAAAGATCAGCTTTGGGGCACTGGAGATCTGAGTCATTACCAGAGAAAGTTTGAATAGAATGAAGGCAGCAATACATGGCAAGAATCGGATGGAGCCAGAAGACGTCCGATTACCTCTGATCCCTTCGCGAAGGAATTGGAGGACCGTAGGAGAAGCATATATGAAAATGAGCCAATCAAAGGGCAGAGGACTTCAGGTGAACGTAGAAGTGGGCTACTTTGGAGGCTTTTGTGGAGCAGACGAAATCGATTGATGCCTAAGAGTGGCGAAAAAGTTCTATAGGGGCTCAGTCGTTGTTAAACACGTCCAATTCAACTGATGGAACTGAGCGAAACAAAGTATCGGAAATCCTGATAAAAAAGAACGCAACAAAGCAATGAACGTGTCCGCAAGAAGCCTTTTCAGCGAAAAGAACAACATTAAAAACAGAACTAAATAAAAATAACACTCAGCGGTAGTATCCGAGAAGACAGCAGGATGAATGAGACGGAACATCAGTAGGTGAGAGATTCAATACTTTTTTATGGCTCAACTGAGTCGCCTGTTGAGCCAAAGCGAGCTAACCAAAGCTTAAACCAGATGTTTTAGAAAGTCAAAGGATTGAAGTCATCGAAGAAATCCTCCACGCACAAAACGAAGAAAACTCGGTAAAAAAAATGTTATGTAGTACACTTTTTCCCCGTGAGTGACCGTTCTTTGACCCCCGCATTAGACTCCTAGCAGACGGTAACGTTTGTTGTGGGCGTGGTTCAATCTATTTGATGAATCTTGTTTACTACCGACTTCCAATTAAACATGGTTTAGTATGTCCACTAGTATCTTATGGAACGTTCTCGACTGTATTAGAAAAGTAAGGGCGTTTCTAGACGCGTCGGTAGACCCACATATATAAGGGATTGACAGGCAGAGAGGGAGGGAGATTGATAGATATTTTTAACTTCACGAGCCATGTATTATTCTTTGTGTGCTCATGTGTTTACTCGCATTCTTCATTCATCATTATTCATTGGCACATTGTACCAATTGTGTACCGGTACCAGATCTACCATACTCTGTAAGATGATGATTTGTAATTATATTTTCTTTTGTTTTCTAATTGTATTATCACTGAATTAAATCTTACTAATTGTAATTGCCAAGTGTTTTTGCTTATCGTATTTTTGTTATTGTATTTCTCTGTGTTATCGTCCTTTCTTGCGCACTGTTTGAACGAGCCATACATTTAAAATAGGAGATCAATTTCTCACAATAGAAGGCAGTGCGTAACGATTGTCTTAACGGCTCTGAACTTTTGCCAGTAATAGACACTCCGACAGCGGAGCAAAACGACAAAAAACACACATCTGACAAATGACGTAACGATGGCATGTCACACATCGACGGTGGGACGCATCGTGACAAACAAGTCGCTAGGACATCGTACTTGGGTTGACGTTGCCAGCGTAATGAAACGAAGACGCTTGTTGCCTACAAACTATCAGAAAAGAAAGTGTGTTCACCGAGTGCCGTGCCCATGCCAGTAGACGCACCGGAACAAGTGGATGCTTAAAGCTCGGGGTTCCACCGGGGGGAGGGGGGGTTGTGGGGGGGACTAGATTTTCTGGTCAGCAAGCCAAGCTGAAACTGACTAAACCTAAAAAAGTAATTATAATGAACTCGTCAAAACTAAATAAGGCAAAAATACCCTGCTTTCAGATCCCCGAGCTCCATTTCCGAAAACTGCTCCAAATCCCTGTTCTGTAGCAGGTGAAGACTTTCCTCGCCTCTATGATCGCTCAGTACTATCTGGGTAAAACAGCGTGTTCAGCAATGTGTCACTAATTCGGATCATCAAATTAACATGAACTAGGCATAATACAAAAATTTAACAAATTTAAAAGAACACATTTTTGAAATACGATAAAATAATTTTTATTGCGTTGCTAGAATTAAAAAGTAATTCCAGTTGTGCGGCAAACAATATATATACAAAAGTAAACCATAAAATGAATTTGCCATTTTTTAAAGTATATTTAGTTGTGTGTAGTCAGTGGGCTGAAATAAAAGTAATAGAGGCTATTTGATATTTGTGAGTTTATAAATTATATACAAATTTAAGTTAAAATTGAAGGGAAAAATTTAATAACAGTTATGTGACATGAATATATATTTTTTTTTAAATTCAGTTGCTAAATTGCTACTTCTGAACAACATTTGCCGAAACAATTTTCTGTAGTAAGCACTCACACAAAAGACAGGCAGCGTTTGTCGTTCTGGTGAATTTTGTCATCAAATTTAAGTATATATAATACATATATCTATATCAAATAAGAGTAGAGCAAGTCATGGTGTTACGACCATCAAGGATCAAAATGAAGTTAAAGTTGCCCTGTGTGCGCCTTACAGTGTTAGCCATGTCTAAGGGAAGTGGAAGAATCGGCACAAATTAAAACCAAAGCTTAATCCAGGGATTCCGACTCGTACCTCCAACCCATAAACCTTTGACACAAATCTTTGACAGAAACATTTGACACAAACCTTTGACACAAACCTTTGACACAAACCTTTGACACAAACCTTTTACACAAACCTTTGACACAAATCTTTGACACAAACCTTTGACACAAATCTTCCACAATGTTTTAGCTTCATTAAACTAATCCAACGTGCTCTTTCTATTAGCCTTTGGATTATCTTTCTTAAAAAAGTGATCTGCAGGCAATTTTCAAATCTTTTATTTTCTTCGTACTGTTAAACCAACGACGAGTCCGACAACGATCACGATGAGTGCACCAGATATGACTGCAGCTATTATGCACATTGCAGCTCTTCTGGCATGTTTCTTGGCTGCGATGTAGATGCCCTTATCACGTGACAACTTGGCCGCCATTGCCTTTTCCGCAGCGAAAGCTCCACAGAAGCAACAACACAGCACACTGAGATATGAGCAGATGATCAACTGAACCGTCCGTGTGAAGGGGCGAGGTAAAAACTCGGAAGAGTGGACACGTCTGACCTTCAGGGAATGCACGAATTGAAATTAATTAGAGGAATAACAAAACAAATCAGCAGGCCATGAGTAAGTCGGCATCATTTGTTAATCCATTTATAGATTTACATGCTAGTTTGGGTCTTTATTCATTTCAATTTATGGCCGTAATATTTCATGTTTAAAAATTGAATTTCTACACAAAAAAAAAAAAAAAAAAAAAAAAAAATTTAAAAAAAAAAAAAAAAAATTAAAAAAAAAAAAAAAAAAAAAAAAAAAAATGTGAATTTAAAATAAATAAATACAATTTTAAAAAGAAACGGAAAAAATTAGCAAGTTCTCCTATCCGCGTTACACCTGATGACATATATGATAATCGAATTCACGGTGTTCATATAATAAAAGGCAGATGTTAAATCTTACCAAAACCGGAAGTGTGTGTGTAGCTTCTCGAGTTGAATTCCTGGCATCGTTTCGTTCTATTTCAACAACCGCGAACGTTGCAACATCTTCCTTGGCGCCATCCACTGGATGATATGGTTGACCATTCACTAACTCTGCGCTCATGGTGTGAGACTCTTGTAGAAGGGTTGACGTCACTTCCGTGTATCGATACGGTAACCGCTGTTCTGTGTCCTACGCTGAGAAACCTCTCTTGCTTATATGGCTTTACCCTTCAAGTTTTGAGACTAAAAGTGGTATCAAATTCTCTGATGTAACATTTGAACCAGGTTTAAGCTAAGGATATTTGATTTGATTTGCAACCACCACTTAAAGGAGAATCGGTGGACACCTGTTGAGAAAAACAAAATAAAATATCTAGTATATTTCTATTCGATTGACTGTAAAAATTGGGGCATCTTCAATCAAGAGTCAAAATATTCAAATACAAGTAATTCGTAACTATATCCCCTTTTCCCGATGGATAATTTCAGACTTAAGGACGATAACAACTTGAGACCCTCTTTCGTAATCTCAAGAAACAAATTACACAAACGGGGAGTAGACTCAAATAGTAATTTTAAGAACTTCGTTTTTTTTTTCTTCCTTTCATTGAATTTAAAATACTTAATCAACACCTTCAAAATTTAACCTGAATGGTGACACATCTTTTCATTTTAAAAAGTGCGTGTGTCGGTAGGAAACTCAATGTCTGTCCTTGATATCACGCACAGGTAAAATTACGTTGAAAAAGTACTGGCTAAAAATTTAAAGGATCTACAAAATAAGTTTGCAGGTGTGCCTTTCCTCCTGGTCAATATATTGAAGTGCCGGATGTGTGTCACCCATGCGTCAGAAAATGCTTTTCCTATTTTATAGAAATGCAGCGGGGCAGTATTGTAAATAGAAAGGCTTAACTCACTTGTTAAGTGTAAGGTGTGGTGTTGTTAGGGGATGGCGAAGTGGGCGACCGCCCAATGTGCCGCGTAAGGTGTGGTGTTGTTAGGGGATGGCGAAGTGGGCGACCGCCCAATGTGCCGCGTAAGGTGTGGTGTTGTTACTAAAAAATAGATTATAATTTATTTATGTTTCAATCACCCAGTTTACTATTTTTAGATGGGAATGCGTCACTGAAATTTCTTGTCAAGATGAATATCAATGCCTTTAAAAAAAATATTTTTTTTAAAGTGACAAAGTAAATCTGGAGTCTACACTCTTTAATCTCTCATTGTCCATGTTTGGATAAATGAATAAAAATAAGGGTAGGGGAGATAGTATCGAACATGCGCAATCTATTTTCAAATTAGATTTCATTATAAAAGAATGACGTGTCAAGTGGGGATTGGTGTACATTATAAATTGTATGGTGGCATTAGGCTTTTAAAAATAAAGACCTTTAATCGATTCCATGTGTCTTGAGTTATATTAAAATGTAAACTTTTAAAAATGATATATTTTTTTTTAAATTAAGAATTTAAAGGGAGATACAAGAGTGCACATTTCATCAATTATTAAATGGAAAGCGTTTGTGTTTTTTTCTAATGTGCTACTTTAGTAACAATGTTTCCTGCATAGCAGAGGTTTAAAAAATACAAAGCCTATATTTACAATGTCCCAACTGTTGGCTCGATTTAAAAAAAAAATGTTTATAGATGGGAATCAGAAAGTTGAAAGAAGGTATAGACTTCTCTTAACTAGCATTTCGATTGTTAATTCTATTTATTTAAAAAAAATGTAAGAACTAGTTTTAGAACAAAAAATCTTATTCCAAATTTTTTCAATGTAAAATAAATTCTGTGGATTTGTTGTTTTTTTTTAAAACGTGTTTTTAAGTATATCTAAGAGGCAATTTGTAAATTATTTGAAACAAAGTTCTAGTATTTTGAAATTACAAATAAACATTTCAGTCGACTGAATATTGGGAAATATATAATTTATTAATGGCATACGATTTTCTTAGATAAAATCAAACATTATAAATACATAATGTCTTTGTAACCAACTCATGGCTTCTTAAAATAGTTACGCGCCGTTCTCATACGATTTATAAAAATGACATGTTTTCACGACTTTCTAATTAACAGGCTGTTGTTTTTGTATCTTTTTACTTCTAAATAAAATTTGGAAAAATTTAGTCTAATTAAAAATAAGTCAGTTTTTTGTCCAGTTGCATTGAGCAGATGAAATAATGTTTGTCGGTGCTTTTTAGTGATGGAAACCTTTTGATTGATTTCGTTGTGTCTTGAACATTTATTTATTAATTAAGTAGCTATCTCCCCCCTGACAACCTCCCCCCCCCCCAACCGTCCTTCAAAGTGGACCGTTTTTTTTCCAGTTCACCCTAATCTAGAAGCAAATGTAGGACGGAAAATTAAAGTTAAAAAACCAAAAAAAAAAAAAAAATTTAAAAAAATTCATAAATAAAAATAAATGCCATAATACTATTTTTAGTACTGTACAAATATTTTTTTTGCCTAACACAAGCAGGTCATTCCACCCTGCATTGAAGGATGATAATTAAGAAAATATCCTCATCACATATTTAAAGCCCTAAATATCTGAGGAACACTGCATCGTTGTTGTAGATTTTTTTTCCACATCCATTCCACATCATCAAAGGTCTCCCTTTGAGCCATTTTCCTCTGGGGTTTTGGTGATGCACCCTCTTAACTCCTCTGTATATGGCATTTTCTCTAAGTGTCCTGCCAAGAATAGCCTGTCCTTTGTTATTTCTATTAACGTGGATCCTAATGTGGACTATAATTCATGGTTGGTTCGTATTGTCCATCCATATTCATCCTTTGTTAGTCCATATATTTTCCTGATAACTTTTCTCTCCCACGTGTTTAAATATGTTTTCTGCTGTTTTGTTAGGGTTCAAGTTTCACTTGCATATGTTACACCTGGTCTGATCACTTTTTTTATTAATAGTTTTCTTTGTTTCTCTTGTAATGTTTTTACTTTTGAGTATTTTCTGACTACTGACGTATGCCCTGTTTCAGGCTGATATTCTTTCTTTTATTTCTGCTAGTAATTTGTTTCTTTCATTTAGTTATAAGGATCCTAGGTATTTGAATTGATTCACTTTTTTTTTTTTAATTTCTAATTTTAATTGCTTCATCTGTTTGTTCTTCTTCTCTTATCATAGTCATGTATTTATTTTTTGGTTGTTAACTTCCAGCCCTGCTTGTAGTGATGCATCTTCTAATTCAATAAAGGATTTTGATATGACTTTAATACTTTTTCGTAACAGTGCTATGTCATCAGCATATGCAAGATACTTAAGGGGTTGATTGTAGAGAGTGCCTATTGGTTGTGGGTCTTGGGTTTCCCTCAGAAAGTATCCTGTTGTTGTTCCTCGGGTGTCAATATGCACGCTTCTTATGACTCTCTCTAATGTTAAGTTAAATAGCATACAAGACAGGGAGTATCTTGTCTTAGGCCTTGTCTAATCTAAGATTCCCTTGAATATTCTTCTTGAACCTTGATTTTGTTTTTTTGAGTTTTTCAATATTACATATATCAGTCTGGTCAGTTTGTTGGGTGTGCCAAACTCGTGCAGAGTCTCAAAGAGGTATTTTCTTTTGATGCTGTCATAGGCCATTTTATATTCCACATAGAGTTGGTGTACTGGGATAGTATATTCATAACATTTCTCTACTGGGCATCTAATGATACAAAGTTGATCATTTGTTGCTTTGTTTTGCCTGAATCCACATTGGTAATTACCTAGTATATCTGCAGGCTACGGTTTTAGTCTTTTGGCAGTTAGCTTCGTCAGTATTTTGTATGAAACATTTCATAAGGAGATTAGATTCCTCTGTAGTTTTTCCCACTGAAGTTTGGAGCCTTTCTTGTGTAATGGGGTTATTAATGCTGTTTCTCCTTCTGTTGGAATTTTCTCTTCTTGCCAAATTTTATTTATACGTTTATGTAACTGAGTGTGTCGTTCAAGGGTGACACAAGTAGAAGGAATATAGTTGACGTCTCACTGGTGTGGAATGTAAGAAGTCTTTGATCATTATTATTGCTAATTTTGGGCCTCCCCGTCCGAAATGTCTGCACTCCTTCCCTCACGCTGATCAATTGTACAGTAGTGGGTTGATTATAATAAAAGTAAAATAAAAGCATTGAATTCAGCTAAACTCAAAAATACACCTCTTGACCTTGATATAATCAAAACATTTCTGAGATCCCTCCATCGATCAAGATTCATCGACGCCCTCAATGAAAATGCCTTCCGATTTTGACATCGATAAATACACTGCCTATTAATGAAGCTACTATTCCCGCCATGGCGCGGGAAAATATTTTGCCGTAGTTCTTTTCAAGATACAAACTGCAGTTGCTCGAAAATGTCACACCAGCATATAAAGAAAAAGTGACATCTGGATGGACCACCCCATCCACCTAATTTTGACGCCACTAGAAGGTGTGTATCAACAGTGTTTGGCGTCAAGGCACAAGATTCATTTTTACGCCCACCCCCCCTTTTTTAACTCTGAAATTCATTATTTTCAACCATTATATACCATAAAAGCCCATTTTGCCCCCTCCCCGCTAGACTGGTGCCCCGTGACTTTTGCCCCATCTGCCACCCCTTAGCTACACCTCTGGCCACTGGCAAATGGCACAGCCACCCCCACACCCAAAAATTTGAAATGCCCCAAACCCCCTCCCCCGGGGGAAATGTCTGAAAGAAACACTGCTTTCCAGGGACAATAATCGCTTGGAACCACCGGGACAGTGCCGCCATGGACTCGACATAAATCGAAAGCTTCAAGGCTGCCCTGGTGGAACCGCCGGGACAATGCCGCCGTAGACTCGACATCAATCGAAAGCTTCAAGGCTGCCCTGGTGGAACCACCGGGACAGTGCCGCCGTGGACTCGACATCAATTGAAAGTTTCAAGGCTGCCCTGGCATCTGCTAGGAGCTGTTAGGATTGCTACATTGCCTCCCCAACCGTTGCACATATGCCAGTATATGGATGCAGCAACGAACACTACCAGAACCAGAACTTTCAGTTTCACATAAAAGCATGCTATACTGCTGTATATATGTCGATGGTTTCAATATTGAAATAATTTAGTCCATTTCTTGAAAAAACAAAGTTTGTTTATTTGAACCCATTTAATAACTAAATGCAAGGCTTTAATTTTTTTAAACTATCTTATTTATGCAATATTGCATTGTTGTAACGGTCTCCTTAAAACGGAGGTATGGTAATTTTAAAAAATAAGGGGTAATAAGGGGAGAGACTGCAATCAGGTTAGTACAAAATAAAATGAGTAAAACAGAGTAGGGTTAAACCTGAAAAAATAAACGCAACAAAACAGCGAACGTGTTGGCAGAAAGCTTTCGTCAACGAACAAAACAACAGAAAAAACGGTATAAAAATAAGAAATAGCACTTAGCTGGTAAGTAGTATCTGTGGGCAGCAATAGAAGTGTGGCAGAAGGAAAATGAGTGAGAGTTTAAATAAGCAGCGGCGAAAAAAAGGGGGGAGAAAAATGTTCACTGTGATAGGTCAGAACGTGGAGGGGCGGAGCTAGGGTCAAGCTGTGAACAGAGACATAACATTAATCCCATCTGGCGTCAAAGTGCCGTAAGTCAGGATAAGTCTGTGTTCCAAATTGACCCGGCTGGCGGTGTTAGTGCTGGCCACAATCGCACTTATTGAAAAGTCCGCCTTGCCCCGGTGGTCGCTACTATTGAAGTGTTTGGAGACGGGACACTGTTTATCTTGTGTAATGTTTCGGAGGTGTTCGGTACACCTGTCCGAGAGACGGCGTCCAGTCTCCCCTATGTATGTCATCTGACAGCGGGTGCAGACAATGGCGTAGATAACGTTGCGGCTTGTACAGAGGAAACCGTCGCGTATCTGAAAACTGCCCTTGGGGAAACGTATGCGTTCAGTCTGGACGACAAAAGGGCACGTGTTGCAACGACTGCGTCCACACGGCTTGGTCCCAAAGTGGGAGGGGGGAGCATTGATACGACTGCGTACAAGCAGGTCTCTCAGATTTTTATCCCGTCTGAAAACAATGAGAGGTGGGGAAGAGAAAATTTCTCGTGTGTCGGTGTCTGCGAGTAGTATAGATCGATGTTTAAGGAAAACACGTTTAGCAATCAGATTGTGAGGGTGATAAGTTAAAATGAGTTTTGTCCTGTCAACATTGTCGCTCAGACGTGGTCTGAAGGCATCAGCACGTGTAATATTCTTAACCCTTTGGAGGGCTGATGAAAGTACTGTCTCCGGGTAAGACCTACACCGGAAAAAGTCTATCATTTCAAGTGCCTTGTCCCAAAAGTCCTCATCCGACCGACAAAGTCGACGAAGACGAAGTAATTGAGAGAAAGGAATAGAGTCCTTACAGGATTTAGGGTGGGATGAAGAGTAGAGTAGATAGCTATGGCTGTCAGTGGGCTTAAAGTAGGCAGAGGTGTGTAGGGTGTCTTTGTGAAGAGTGACTGTAATGTCTAAGAAATTGACTGAGGTCTCAGAGATAAGAGATGTGATTTTAATGGAGGGGTGAAAGGAGCCTACAAAGTTAATGAACAGGTCAAGTTCACTCCTCTCCATAGTGGTCACTCCTTAAAAAATAAACAACTGGTTTTATAAAGTATTTTTAAAAGCAATTTCAAAGTTAGATATTCAATGTCTAACAATTGACAGTTAACTTCCAAAATTTAAAATTAGCGATAAAAACAATGACCCGTAAGAAGCTAACCATTTCACTTTTGAATGAGATCTAAGCTGTGATAGATACGGGCGATCTCAAACGCTCGCTATTCCAAGTGATATTCATAATGGCTTGGCAGATGTATTGATCTGAAATACTAATTACTAATTAAACCAATTACTGTTTTAAACTGAATGAAAGCTAGCGATCTTTCAAAGTTAATATATCGTTACTCGCATTGTTAAAAGTATAGTTCTCTTTCTCCTGAGCGCACATTTTTAGAGTCTCTGGGTACTAACCGCCTTGCCTTACAGGTTCTAATACTTTACAGACCCCTTACAGTTTCTAATACTCTACAGAGCACTTAAAGTTTCTAATACACTACAGAGCACTTACAGTTTCTAATACTCTACAGAGCACTTACAGTTTCTAATACTCTACAGAGCACTTACAGTTTCTAATACTCTACAAAAGAGCACTTACAGTATCTCGAAACTGTTGACGGTGGTACTCCTTCCCTTCAGCCTGGTCTGCTGCTTGTATTTTGGAAATAGCTAAAACTATCCACGGCTTTTGTTTGTGGAATGCATTTATAAGCACTCTGAGACCACTCGTTGAGTGTTACTTAACCGTTTCCCCAAAACATCCTGGACCCGACGAGGGAGTGATAAACTGGGAAGGGTTTGACGTAAGTTGACCTACTTTACTGTTCCTTAATCTGTTCGCCTTGCCTAGCATAATATCCGGTAAAAGAAGAGTGTTCACTTTTAAAAATTATTATGTTAAAAAATAAAATATAAATAATAAATAACTAGATAAAAACGACATTCTTTATGTGGAAAATAAATAAACCATTTTTACAAAACTCAATTAGCAAATGTTATTTGACAGCCCTGAGACATTATATATATTATATACGTGGTATAGCTTGTGGCCATTAACAAGTGTTATTGATTCATTAGGTTCCAAATCACAAACTTAAGCAACTCTACCTAACAGGTAAAGGGATTTTCTTGTCGTATTTTCATCTGTCCTGTCTGCTGAGGAAGGCTCTTAGCCGAAACGCTCTTCTCTTATTGTCCTTTCTTTATAATTCAAGCTTCCAGATACCTTAATTTACCATTTCCTTTACACAGCGCGAACGCAGTCCTTCACGGGTCACCTCGACATGTCTTGTCTGCCTATTCAGAGTTCCTGGTAAAGCTTAACAAGTGGGGCTAACAGGATGGTCAGACAATCCTATACATTTTGTTAACCAAAAAAAAAAAAAAAAAAAACTCAAATAAATCGTATCCAAACTTCATTTTGTTAACCAAAAAAAAAAAAAAAAATGCTCACATGAGTCGTATCCAAACTGTAATTTAAGCGAAGGTTAGTCAGAAAGGGGTAATTACTCCCAATTTGTTAAATATGAAAATCTGTGGGTAAAGTGACATCAAACGTATTATTAAATATTTATTAAAAGCGTTTTCATCATTTATTTTTTACAAAACAATTTACTGTCAACACTGCGGCTGACTTGTGTAGTATAGAAACTTAGCAACATGTTGTGTTTACTAGTGCCTCGCAGGTAGCATACGCTTATGTCCCGTCTTTTCTGCGGCATTTAGCCTAGTTCCCATTTTATGATGTGCTCAGTGACGTCACTTAAGTGCATGTCACCCAGTGCGGTAGAATCAAGGTGAGACTCGATCCGGGCTTCCCCATGGGCCTTAACTGTGTCAGCCTGATGTTGTGTTACCCTGCTCTTGTGAAAACCTGCCTGTTATGTATGACACTTTTTCCCGTGCTTGAACTTTGCTTGAACCCTAGCAAAGGCTACGTCCATAGATGGGCGTGGCCTATTCGTTTGAAGTATCTTATTTACTTACGCCTTTCCAAATAAACAGAGTTAGACTGTCTCCTAGTATTTTGTAGAATATTTGTGCGTGTTCTAGAAATGTAAACAAATGCTGAGTAGCTTCTGGAAGGCAGGGCTTACGCGTCCGTAGACCCACATATATAAAGGATTGACATGCACAGAGAGAGGAGAGACTCAGATAGATTGATAGATATTGTTAACTTGACGAGACGTGTATTATTCTTTGTGTGCTTACATGTGTTCATTCACATTGACTATTCATCATTATTCATTGGCACATTGTAATAATTGTGTACCGGTACCAGATCTACCATACTCTGTAAGTTGATGATTTGTAATTGTATTTTTTGTTTGTTTTATAATTGTATTATTACTAAATTAAAATCTCATTAATTGTAATTGGTACTGTTTTGGGTGTCGTACTTGTGTTATTGTATTTCTCTATGGTATCGTTCTTTGTAAGGAACTGTTTGAAGCAGCCATAAAATTTAAAATAGGAGATTAATTTCTCACAATAGAAGTTTCAAGTTTAGCATTCCTTGTTCCTATATTTCGTCTCTAAGCACATACAGTTGAGTTTATAGATACATTTCCTGTGAATGGAGTAAGAAAGGAGGGTCGGGGTGCCCCCCCCCCCCCCCCCGGGGGGCGGGGGGTTTTTTTTTTTTTTTGTTCCTGGAAAAGTTTT